TAGGGGACATTAACACTCCACTCACAGCAATGGAAAGATTATCTATGCAGAAGATCAACAAAGAAATAAGGGCTTCGAAGGACGACCTAGAACAGATGGACTTCAGATATATTCAGAGCATTTCATCCTAATGCAGCAGAATACATATCCTTCTTGAGTGCATGGAACATTCTCCAGAATAGATCATATACTGGGTCAGACCACAATATTAAAACTTAAAGACAATCACAGGAAAAAAAAATTGGAAGGACCACAAACATGGAGGTTAAAGAGTATCTTACTAAGGAATTAATGGCTCAATCAGGAAATAAAAGAAGAATTTTAAAAATACATGTAGCAAATGAAAATGCAAGCACAACAGTTCAGAAACTTTGGGACATAGCAAAGGCAGTCCTAAAAGGGAAGTAAATAACAATATAGGACTTTCTCAAAAAAACTAGAAAATCTCAAACATACAACCTAAACTTACACCTAAAGGAGCTGGTAAAAGAACAACACATAAAGCCTAAATCTAACGGGAAAATAAATAAAATCATAAATGAAAGTGGAGAGAACACATCCAACACCACAGAAATACCAATAACATTAGAAGAATATTATGGGCAAAGTGCACCCTGGTAGGTTTCAGAGCAATCAGATGTTACAACAAAAAAGAAAAAAAAATAAATCCAGCCAACATAAGCCCCAAGAATAAGATTTATAAAGTACAAAAACAAAACAAACAAAAGTCCAACAAAAGAAAAAGAAAAAAAAAGCCCAAATGATCCCCAAGTGTAAGATTTATAAAGTACAAAAACAAAAGCAAACAAATAAACAAAAAGACTGACAAAAAAATAAAAAATAAATGGGGGAGGTGTGAAGGGAGGGTAGTTATAATCCCTGATATGTGGGCAAGGAAAGGTATTTCAGTTCTTCCTGGGTGTATCTTGTTATCTTTGTTAAAGAACTCAACTTTCCAGAGATAAGGATAACTAAAACTGGTGTATATATATAAAGATAGTATTGAATAGGGAAAATAAGCACTACATTGAAGCTTGTATCTACCTATCTATATATTAAAAAAGAAAAAGGAAAAACATTATATATATGAAAAACTTCAAGTCAAAATGTTATTATGGAATATGTTTTATTAAACATCTAGTTGAAATGGTAAGTGGGTAAAAAAAAAGAAGAATCATGAGAAATAATTTTTAAAAAGAAAGACAAAAGTTTTCTCTAAGAAATGTAGTCTATGAGGCAATACTAGGAGCTTAATATACTCTTTTCCCCTGGTATTGGGTTTTTACAGTTTTATGGGGGACCCTGTGTTTGTTGTCCTCTTGTTCTTTCAGCATGTCTTCTGAGGTAGGGGCCTGCGGTGTTGTTTTTCAGTCTATTCTGCTTGGGTGGAGTTGCCCTGCCCCCTATCAAGGGGCTGGGCTCTGTGGAAATAAGTTTTATGGGCTTTTCTTCTCTGAAGGCTTTTGTTCTTTGGTGGCTTTCCATGCCTTTTCAGAGAGAGTCAGAGCAAAGTAAACTGTCTGCACCCAGATCTCTGCCTCAGAGAGAAGGCACAGACTGCTCTTCTCTGAATCCTCCAGAACACACTGTCTCCACCTCTGCAAGCCCTGTTGAATACTGCAGACTCCCACAGGCAGTGAGCACCCTTAGTGACCCTTTCAGTGGTCATCTGAGCCCCCTGCTTGTCTCTGTACCCCTGTGCCATCAAAAACGCAAGTGCTACTTGTCTGGGTGAGCCCAGTCCTGGTGACTGCCATTCCCAGGACCGCTGACTCATGTCCAGCTGGATCCTCTCAAGCATGGGTGGGCAGCGGCTGTGGCTGGTCCCAGGGCAGTGGGCTTAGGTCTGCGCCTGTGGCTACCTGGTCCCAAGAATTTTCCCTTAAGTCCCTTTGTTCTGTTTGAGTGCTGTTATCAGTCCCTTTCCATCTCGCAGCCACTGGCCTCCAAGCTATAGCTGGTCCCCAAATGCATGAACACTTTCACATTGGGGTATTACTTTCCAATGGCTCACTTCTGGTGGCTCCCTTACCCTTCTGTTTATTCTCTGATATCTGTCTGTGCAATTCCAACTCTGTTCTTTGTACCTTTCAACTGATGAGCCTCTGCCCCCATACAGATCCAGAAGTGTGTAATCTTACATCTCAGGCTGATTTCATGAGTGTTCAGAGAGCTCTGGTAGATATCGAGCTCAATCTAGGGGACCAACTGAAATAGGGTCCCTTACTCCTCTGCCATCTTGCCCCTTTGAACCCTTGTATTTAATTTTAACTTCCAACAGTATTTACTGAGCATGTACCATGTGCCAGGAACTGTGCTAGGTTCCTCTACAGAGGGAGAGACAGTGTGTTCTGGAGGATTCAGAGAAGAGCAGACTGTGGCTTCTCTCTGAGCCGGAGATCTTGATGCAGATAGTTTACTTTGCAAAGACCCTCTCTGTGCTAGGTATTGGGGAAATATCAGTAAATTAACAGGTAAAATCTCCTGCCCTTCATGGAATTTATACTCTATAGGAGAGAAGAGCAATAAAGAAAACATGTAAGCAAAACATACAATATGTCAGAGAGCAATATGTAAAATAGAGCAAAATAAAGCAGGAAAGAGGGAGAGACAGTGCAATTACAATTTGAAATAGAAAGTTCAAGGAAGATCTCAAGGAGAAGGTGATATCTGAATAAAGACTTGAAGGAGTTGAATGTGGGAGCCATGAAGATATCCGGAGCAGGAGTACTCTAGGCAGAAAGAAAAGCCAGTCCAAAATCTGTTGCAAGGGGCATGCCAGACATTTCTTTTTAGGAACAGCAAGAGACCAGAGTGTCTGGAGTAGGGACCAAATATGGGAAAGGTGAAGGAAATGAAGTCATAGAGGTAAGAATATGTTGATCACACAGGATTTTGTAAGTAATAGTAAGAACCTGACTTTTACTCAAGGAGAGATTGTCAGCCATCATATGGTTTTGAGCAGAGGAGTGATATGACCCAACTTAGATCTTGATAGCATCCCTTAGCTGTCAGGTAAAGAACAGACAGACCCTATGCCATTACAAGACAGCTAGCATTTTATAGCAGTGCTCCTCAAACTTTAATATATAATGTAAGTCAAATAGGAACCTTGTTAAAATGCAGAATTTTACTTAATAGGTCTGGAGTGGAGCTAAAGATTCTGTATTTCTAACAAGCCCCCAGGTGATTCAGATATCAGTCTAGAGCAGAACACTTTGAGGATAAGAGATATGTCCAAGGCTAGTGTGGAGCAGAACTCTATTATATGTTTGCTGAGGGAATGACATATCAGTGGTTTGGTTCCCAATGCCACATAGCACATTTCAGAGGGTAATTTTCAGCTATTTGTATGAAGGTAAGGAAGAGGAAAAGATAAAAGAGAGACATGGATGTTTGGGTGAATAGATGAAAAGGAAAGGAAAAGAAAACTAGCTTTTTACAAATGACTATAATATTATGTTTACTTAGTTTATCAAGAACTTAAGGCTTTGGTGTAGTTAAGCCCACTGGACAAATCAGAAAAATCAAAAGTCAGAGGAGTTAAGGGGCAACTTCAAGGCTACCGAGTTCCTAAGTGACTAAGTCAGGATGTGAAAGTGTCCCCACAGCTGTTGTTATTTCTACTCTACTGCTTCATAGAGGGGTAAGTGGAAATAACCATCAACCTCCCTGGAAGGGAGGAAAAAAATGAGTTGAGGTGAAGAAAATTAAGGCCCATAGTCCCTGGATTTGATCTTTCTAGATCTGCACTGTCCAATGTAGGTGCCATTTAGTCATGTGTCTATTTAAATTAAAACTAAATAAAATTTAAAATTCCATTTCTCAATCATACTAGCCATGTCTCAACCACTCAATTGCCATAGAAGGCTGGCTTGTCAGTACTACATTGAAGAATGCTGAAGTATTTTATCACCATAGGAAGTTCTATTGGGTAACAATATTCTAAAGAAACAAGAACTTTTAAAAGTGTTAAACCTGTATTATTGATTCCAGAGCAGGTCCTGACCTCACTCAATAGCACTTAGGGGACAGATATTAGGACCTGACCCCTCATCTGGAAAGAAGGGATAAACATATTCAAAGCAGAGTTTTCCCTGGGTCAAGCAGAATATTGTGTGTGTGTGTGTGTGTGTGTGTGTGTGAAAGAGAGAGAGAGAGAGAGATTTTTTTAAAACATTCTTTCCTCCATTTCCCATTGGTATTCCCAAACTGTTCAGTAACATGCCCTTTGAAAATGTCAGCTTGTCTCATGAGCTCAAGAGAGGATGAGAAAAAGGGCTCTCATTCTTACTCAGGTTTGAGAGATGGAAGGGATAGAGTCAGGGAATGTGGAGCCACATCTGGGGAGCAAAGTGGCATGTTGAAGGAGCTGGGATTTATCTACTCCATCCTTATCTCCTCCAGATTCCTCCCCCTAAGCACTATTCAAGTGTTCTTCAAGTGAAGGAAGAGGACCAATAGCATCAATTTCAATAGGAATGCCTGTTAGACATAGAGATGACTTGGTTTACCCCAGACAGATTTCACAACTTTGGGGAGGCAGAGGAGGCTGGAATTGGCATGTTCAACAAGGCACTCCAGGGACTGTTGTGCACATTTAGGTTTGTGAACCACTGAGTTGGAGGGAGATGTGTCTGTGCTTTAATGAATGAAGTCAGGCTTTTATGTGGTGTGGCAACAACCAAATCAGAAGCTAAAAGCATAGAAGTAGAGATTGAGGGAAGGGAAGATGGGGTGAGGGAAGCAGGGAGACATAGGGAAAGAAAGAATATGAAAATGAAAGATGAAACTTAGAGAAAGAGAAACTGATACTGGGACTGAGAAGCTCCAAGGGAGCTATTTCACCCATTGAGCAGAATATAGGAGGCCAATCCAGCTGCTCTTTTCAATATCTTGGGACTGTCACAGGAAAGCTCAGCAGAGTTGTTGGTTCTTCATGAAAATGTCCTCTACCCCACCCTGGGTGCCCCCACATACACTATCATAGCTGGGCCTACCTCACAAATGTCCTTGAGGTGCTTGATATAATGACGTTCGGTGCTCATGATCTCATTGATGACATTGGCTCGCATCTGGTCCCGGTTCTGTAGTGGCCGGCCCAGACAGAGGCAGTCTGAGTTGGGGTCCAGGTGCCCATTCTGCACATCACTGGGCCCTTCCTCCACCCCATCCTCCTGGTTCACCCAGAGCTGTGGAAGCAGGCAAAAGAATAATAATAGTTTCCTTCTTTGAAAAGTTTCTAGCCAGGCTAAAAAAAAGGATAAACTAAATTCTTCAAGTATTCAGAGAACACTCAACCAGAGGCCCCTGGTTTGACTCTATGTGGCTTGCTGGCTTTATGCATGATTTTAATCCTCTCTAGGCCTCTGATGACCTATCTGTGAAATGAAGGATGCAGAATGATACAACTAAATCATCTCCGAGAGGTTTCTTATCTAAGATTTCAGAGGAGAAAAGAGTTACATCAAACAGAACCCATTTTTTTTATTTGAGAGAGAGAGAGAGTACACAGGAGAGGGAGAAACATACTTCCTGCCAAGAAGGGAGATGATGTGGGGCTCAATCCCAGGGCCCTGAGATCATGACCTGAGCCAAAGGCAAATGCTTAACTGACTGAGCCACCCAGGTGCCCCAAACAGAACTCATTTGTGCTTGAGCATATCTAAGTAGCACAGCTGGATTGAAAAAAAAAACAACAACAGATGAAGCTATATATCTCAGGCATATGCCACAACTTGATCAAACATAATACCGATGAGCATGGAGACCAAAGTTGGATACTGGACTGAGCATCTTGAAAATGGGACCTTCAGTGTGAATTTACACCAAAAGATGTACAAATAATAATTAAAATTTGACTGTAAAATGCCTTAGGTATGTAAAGATCTCTACATCTTCAATGTTGGAGTGGACATGACAGAATGTCCCCAAACCACATAACAGCAACTGTTGATTGAGCACTTACTATACAGCAATCACTATGTAAAGAGTTTTCAATGAACTATATTACTCAGTCATGCTAGCATATACCATTATTATCTCTATTTCACAGAAGAGGAGACTGGGGCTCAGAAAAGTTAAGGAATATCTCCCAAGTCACACAGTTAGGAAAGCAGAAAAGCTGGGATAGGGATGAGGTGGTCTGACTTCAAAGCCTGTGCTCTTAATGACAGTACTAGCATCTTTGCACCTCTGGTTTTATGGAAAACAGGAAAGAGTAGGTAAGGGCTTGGGCTAAGATGATTCGGAATCATCAGAAATAGATACAGCTGGTAAATGTTGAAACTATACATCCCAAAACATGAAGGGAAAGGGATGCAGGAAAACCTCTTTTGGGGAGGCTGTGTGAGATGTTTCTGGATCTGGGATGACAGCTTAAATCAGGGAGATAGCTTATCTCCCTAGTCCTAGGAAAGAAGAAGGCCAGGGGGTCAGGGAAAAGGGAAGGGTGGAACGTTAGTAGGAGTGGTAAAATCTGCCAGGGTACTTAGACAAAGAGCTTGTCAGTTGTCTCAACAGCTTTAATCAACAGTCCATCTTTCCCTTCCATACCCCTTTCCCCTGCACAAACTTTCTCTACTTTCCTGCTTCCAAAACCTGAGATCAAGCAATTTAGATGCATCACTATTTCTGCCACCAGAAAGGCCTGTTGGTGAGAGGCCTTAGAAGGACAGAAGCTTTGGGATGGAGCTAGAGGAACATTAGTTATTTCTAAACTCTGTGTATTCTCCCCTCTCTTTTTGCCTCATAGAGAATGGGGGTTGGTTACCACCCAGCAAACCTAGAAATATCACCAGCATATAGTCTATGTATTTGTCATAGGCCATAGCAAGTAAAGAACACTTCATTTTAATGCACTTTGCATACACAGCCAAATGTGCAAAAATGTATCTCCATTCAGAAACTTTCCTCCTTTACAAATGTTCTTTTGGAAATCTCTCCATCTTTCAAAGGTCAACTTTGTGTCTTCAATATGCTAACAGCTGCCCTATAATACAATCAATAGGCAATGATGAAGGATGATTAGTCAAGGAACAGATCTGTTCAAAAAGTGATTCTAAAGCACTGAAGCAAGCACATCATATACATGTCATCTATGTGAAACAATAAAAGCCTCATCCTATAATAATTCATTAGGTTTTCCCAGCTTTTCACAATGTAAGCTAAGCTCTGTTATAAAAAGGGTACCATAGGCAGGCTTCTAAGAGATTTAAAATGAAACATACATTTTCTTCTCAGGAGTTTAAGACAAGTCAGTTCAAAATACTGGCTTTTGGGTGGCTGGAATGAGATGACTCTCTGGAACAGTTCCAGTGGGAAGGAACACAGGATATCTGTGGGAGTGGGATTCAGACAAGCAAATGTCTAGAGACTGGCAAGTTGGAAGACTTTCCTGGAAGTCTTCTCAGAGTACTTGAAGACTATTTTCTTTAACCTTTACTGAACGCTAAGCAAAGTTGGGTTAATGCAATGCAATTTAACAAAAGTCTATTTTGGACCTATTCTTTTCCTCACCACTAACTACAAGACACAAGGATGAGCAAGATTCCTAATTCCTCCCCATCCCTCCTGCCTCAGAAGTTCCAGGGAGTGCTTTCCAAATCAGAGAATATCACTGGTCTTCATCTCTTCCTATTCCATTTCCACTGTCATGGTCCCCTCTCCCTAGATGATTTCCCTGGGTTATCTCCCAGTTCCAATTCCTCCCATTTGTCATTATCAGAACAATTTCCTTAACTATTAAATTGATTGGCTAGTCTCAGCCTCCAAAATCCTCAATAGTTCCCCATTACCAAGTCCAAATCTCTCACCCTAGAATTCAAACATTACCATAATTTGGCTTCAATTTTCATTTCCATCCTTAGCTTCTACTATGTCCTCCAGGAAGACTGAGTTTCTCCCAAACTGGTCTACTTTCTGTCTACAAATATTCCCAACCATGGTCTTTAATCCCATACTTGACCATGTAAATAACAGAATACAGAGGCTTTCAACCATTTCAGCAACAATGAACCAACATATCAACTCCCTGATAAGAAACTTAAGCCCATAGAGGAGAAATAATGTCAGGGAATTACCAACTTACCCAGATCCCCATTTTAATATGCTTTTTTATTTTGTATATATCTTCCTTTTTTCCCTTTTTTTTAAATTACACAATAGATACAGGAATACATTTGCTTTGTAAAAAGTTAAAATAAAGAAAAAGAAGAAAACTCAAAATATTAAAATCAGGAATAAAAGACTAAATATTACTGCCAAGCTAAAAGAAAATTTAAAAAAATGATTCAAAGGAACACTATGAACAACTGTATGCCAAAAATTAGATAACCTGATGAAATAAATTCCTAGAATGATAAAACTACAGAGTATGACTGAAGAGGAAATAGAAAATCTGAATAGACCTATGACAAGTAAAGAGTAATTAAAAACTTCTTGGGGCACATGGGTAGCTCAGTTGGTTAAGATTCTGCCTTCAGCTCAGATCATGATCAAGCCCCATATCAGGCTCCCTGCTCAGCAAGGAGCCTGCTTCTCTCTCTCCCACTACTCCTGCTTGTGTGCTCTCTCCCTCTCTCTTTCTCACTGTCAAATAAATAAATAAAATATTGAAAAAAATTTCTTACATGGGAAAAAGAAAAACAAAACAAAACAAAACAACAACAACAACAAAAGGACCAGATTGGCATCACTAGTGAAGTCTACCAAACATTTAAAGAATAATTAACATCAATCTTTCACAAACTTTCAAAAAATAGAAATGCAGAAATTCCCAACAAAATATTTGCAAATCAAATCCAGTAACATATATATTAAAAAAAATCCACATTACCAGATGGAATTCATACCAGGAATGCAAGGTTGATTCAACACATGAAAATCAGTCAATGTAATACACCATATTAATGGAATAAAGGTTTAAAAAATACATAAATATCTCAATAGACACAGAAAAAACACTTAGAGAAATCCAACACCTTTTCATGATAAAAAAGAAAACATTCAACAAATTTGGAATAAGAAGGAGCTTTCTCAAACAACTGATAGAAATTTATGGAATACCCATAATTAATGTACTTAATGATGAAAGGCTGAATGCTTTCATCCTACAATCAAGAACAGACATCACTTCCATGCAACATGTATACTGAGGGCTAGAGCAATTGGAGAAAAAAACCATTCAGATTAGAAAGAAAAATTAAAACTATTCACATATGACATAATTTTAATATATATATTTATATAAATTTTTATATATAATCATATATATATATATATTTAATCCTAAGGAATCCACACACACACAAATCCTGTTATAACTAATAAATGAAGTCAGCAATGTTGCAGGATATAAGATCAACATACAAAGTCAACTGTTTTTCTGAAAATAAAATTAAGAAAACAATCCCATTTAAGTAGCATCAGAAAGAACAAAATCCTCAGGAATACATTTTACAAAAGAAGTATAAGACATGCACAATGAACACTGCAAAACATTGCCGAAAGAAAGTAAAGACCTAACTGAATAAAAAGATATCTCATGTTCATGGATTGGAAAATTAAATATTGTTAAGATGGTAATAAATTGATTCAGATTCAACACAATCCCTATCAAAACTCTCAGCTTGTTTCTTGGCAGAAATTGATAAGCTGATTCTAAATTTCATACAGAAATTCAAAGGACCAGAATAACCAAAATGATTTTGAAAAAGAACAAAGTTGGAGGACTCACACTTCTGATGCCAAAGCTTACTATAACCAAGTGAGTGTAGTACTGGCACAATAACAGATTTAAAGATCAATGAAATAGATGAGAGTACAGAAATATACCCAACATTTGTGCTAAACTGATATTTTTCAAAGATGTCAAGACAATTCAAAGGGGTAGCATATAGTCTTTCCAACAAACGGTGAGGGGGCAACTGGATATCCAAATGAAAAGAATAAACTTGGACTCACACCTCACACTACATATGAAAATTAACTTAAAATGGATTAAAGACCTAAATGTAAAAGCTAAAATGATAAAGTATGTCAAAGAAAACACAGAAGGAAGTTTTTGTGACCTTGGATTAGGCAATGGTTTCTTGCATATGACACCTAAAACAAAAACAACCAAAGGAAAAGATTTAGACTTTATTAAAATTTAAAAAATTTTGCTTTGCAAATGATAGCATCAAGAAAGTGA